TTCCTTTTTTCTCAAATTTTACGGATAAATTTTTTTCGTTGTCTTTTCTTTTCTGTGTTCGGTTTCTCGTCACTTGGTGTCGTCTCGAGTACTCGGGAATGGTTTCTGAAACTCTTTCTTTTGGATTGACAACTTCCTTGTTAGGACCGTGTCATTTTCACATTTTCGTTTTTCGACACTATTCACATTTCGTTTTTTTCCTGTTTATCGTTTTCATTTGCATAACATCACTTTTTGTGCTCGGATTTGATTCTGGCTTTATATGCATCTATAATATTTAATTTTTAAGAAATTTGTATTTTTACTTTCGTAGAAAAGTATACTAGTTGCTTACTTTTTTTGGTAAATGGTATGGATGCATAGTTTATTCAGAAATATTCTTGATTTTTTTGGTTTTAGTGTAATTATGTAAAGTAATTATTTTTTATCTTAGAGACCATTTTGTAATTTAATTTGGAAGATATTTTGAAAAATGACTTTTTTTGCAATTTTTGAAAAGTGTGACACTCTCATGAAGCCACTTGTTGGCCTTAGGGTGAAATTACTTGGAAGCTTAATCTTTTGACATATGGAGGGTGGAGATTCACCCATTTGTTGGCCTATGATAGGTGCACATGTTGGCTTTGATAGTTGACAAGTGTAGGTGTAGAATTAAGCCTTAAAAGGAGCCATGGATTAGTGACAAGTGTAAGCTCCAATTTTGGTCTTGCACTTAGTGTGTTTGAAAACCATGGTGTAGGAGCATATAGTGAGTTGAGGAATACTAAATCCTCCACTCACCACATTTTATCTCATCTTCCTCACTCCCTTTACTCTCAAAAACCTAACCTAGCCACCATTGAAGAAAAGCTTGGCTTAGAGCTTATTACTTCATTTTGGCCTCCTTCCACTCACCTTAGACCTTATTACTTCATTTTGGCCTCCTTCCACTCACCTTAGACCTTTAACCTTAGGAAGTAAAAGTTTCCTCTCACTCTCCTCTACAAAACCCTAGCTTAGTTTTCCATTTTAAGTTTAGTTGCCTTGGATTATAGAGATTCAATTCTCTATTAGGGTAAGGGATGTTATAGGTTTATGTTTTTGTTGTCTTGCATGCTATTAATGCTTATACAACTTGTATGCATGCTTTTGTTCATAATTTAGAAATTAATTTAATTATTTTATTATATAAGATTTAAACTCACATGGTTGTATGTGTAATGGAATTAAATTGTAGCGTGCTATTATATTACGGCTTGATATGTTTATTAACATATATTAAATTAAAGATGTTCGGATAAGTTTTGAAATCTAGAGATTTTGACTAAATGAATTAATTAAAATCTATTCAATGGTTCCCTTGATATAATCAAATATTTGAGTAGATATAATTTGTGTAGAGAAGTTATTTAAATTTAGTAGATTACTAAATTCCTATAATTTCGTAGTATTATGAATAGGGAATGTTTATTGTGCATTATTGAAAGTTAAATTACTAACTTGTTACTATGAAGTAGTAATATGAGATTTTAGTAAATTATTGATATTATTAGCCTTGTAAACTTCTTGCTACAATGTCGTAGAATTAGTATTTAAAGTTTACCATGGAGGCATGATTTGAATTGTTAAGTAGATGATATTGTTTTGTACATTGTATCATAGTAAAGACTTGACATTATATATGCCATTTTAGAATTGAAATCCTAAGACATGGATTGTGTAGTTTCAACCTACTTGTGCATGGAAGGTGGTTTCATGCATTATTTAATTGCGTATGAGTTGTGAACTTATTTATTGATTTTGGAGTCACTTGGGACATTGTTACAATGACATGGCTAGAGTTCAGCTTTAGTGCGGGAGGCACGAGGTCTCCCCAAATTATAATGCACATTAGGATGGTATTCCCAGCGGCTTAGTACCCGGAATAATCGTTTAGGTCTTGGTTTTACTCTGAGATTTGATATCCAAGCCTTCCACTAGTTGCTTTCGCATTCAAATCGAAGTTGACAACCAATGTTTAATTGTGACTTGTGGTTTTGGTTATTGGCGATTTAATGTTGTGAAGTACATTTATGCATTATGATTTTTACCGAATCATTGCAATTTTGATGTTGTTAAGTACATTTATGCTAAAATGTTGAAATGTAGCTTAGGAATGATCCTATAGATTCATTTGGAACATAGACGTTAAGTGATATAACCCACTTTAGTTGTTTTTGTATTTTAGGTTTTAAGTTGATAACTTTGATAATCTATATCATGTTACGTGGTAACGTATGCTCTTATATTGTTGAATTGCATAAATATTGTGGTTTATGCTATGAATGTTTTAAAGTAGTTTAAAATGATCTCTGAGTCTCACTTTTGACCTAGACGTTATGTGGCATGACCCTTTTAAATTTTTTAACATTAATGTGATAACCGTGTAAAATGTTAGGTCTATGCATGCACATTCCCTACGAGTAACTTATTTACTCACCCCAAAGTTATCGGCTTATTTTTCAGGTACGGATACCTTGGTTTGGGATGCACAATATTCCTAGGTCGTTTTGATAAATTGAAGTTATTTAAATGTATTCTTGTTCACATGCAAGTGTTAGCATGCTTGAGGTTCACTTTTTAAGTTGTATTATATAGTTAGGCTGAAATGTCAATTTTGCCCTTGAACTTGTAATGTGTGCCTAAGCATACTTTTTGACAGTCATTTTATGTATATGATATGTGGCCAAGGACCAAACTTCTTTTGGAATCACATATATGTCATGAATGTTGAATTTTGCCTTTAATGAAAATATTATGAAAATTGTGCATTTTAATATGTCATTTATGCATCGGAGTGTGCATTGAGTATGAAATTCATTATTTAGCATTCATTTAATATATATGAGGTGTGGCTAAGGGCCAAATACCATTTCGTTTTCATTTTTGCATTATAGTTTCATACATTGCATTTTTGGGCTAAAATAGAAAATCCAAGTTTTTATGGGTTCATTTTCAAATCGGATGGTACAAAGTGTGCATGAGCACATTCATTAGGATTCATTTAATATGCATGAAGTGTGGCCCAAGGCCAAACGGTCTTTTGAAAGCATTTAAGTCCGGTTGTTGCATTTTTTGCCTTTAAGGAACATTTTTCACGCATTGGGGTTTTGATAGGTTATTTTTTGCATCGGCGGTATTTTTGAGCCATGGATCATTACAGCGCGTCCTAATAGGTAAGTTACGTCTGCGTGCATGATCGTTCTCGGGCAAAACCTCTTCTTTGGTGAAATGAGCCTCTTATGGACTCATTTTTCATTTTCTTGCATATTCTGGTTTAAGGGCATTTTGAGGTTTTGCTTTGTGAAATAAATTCCGGTCTTACCTCTGTCACATAGAAAATGTGATTTTAGGGTAGTTTATTCACGGTATTAGTCTATAAAATGTCATCTCGGCCTCAAAAACCCCGAATCCATTTTAGTTTCTGTTTTCTACATTTTTTTCCAAGAAATTCTGTTGTAGCATGCTCTCGGCCCAAAGGAGCCGACTCGATTCCTAAAAGAGCCGACTCTTTCTTTAACTGAGCCGACTCGATTCACAAAAGAGTCGACTTGGTTCACCTGGGCATCATTTTCTTCATTTTGCATACTCTCGGCCTAAAAGAGCTGACTCGGTTCCCAAAAGAGTCGACTTAGTTTATTCTGGCATAATTTCCTTCATTTTTCGTGCTCCAAGTCCAAAAGAGCCGACTTAGTTCTTAAAAGAGCCGACTGGGTTCATTCATGCCTCATTTTAGTCATTTTTGGTGCTCTCGGCCTAAAGGAGCCGACTCAGTTGTCAACTGAGTTGACTCAGTTTGGCTGCCATGATGACCTATCTTCAAATGGTTATAACATACTCATTTTAGGTCCAAATTAGGTCATTTTTGAGTCTAAATTCAAGAGCTTGAAGTCAGCTTTCCAATGGTATCAACTACACACTGAAACTCCAACCGTAATGAGAGTTATGATGGTTTTAGTGAGATAGGGTTGTGGTACCTCTTACTTGGAGGACGCCGCTTTGTTCTATTTTCATATCTTTATCAATTGGACTCCAAATCAGGCGATTTTTGAATCGAATTTCTTTCATTTTTCGTTATCTTTTCCAATGGTGTGCACGGCGGTACCCATTTCAGTTTGAAATGACCATTTTACACTTGGTTCATTTCTTATCGGGTTTTAAATCATTGCTTCAGTTCTTGACTCATTTGAGTTCCGTGGTTTCATGGGGAGTCATTTTGGTGCCTTAGGGATGACGTACACCTTTATAAACCATTTTACTACTTTCGCTTCCTTATTTGGGATCCGTTTTCGGGTCAACTTTAGGTCATCACTGACGCACCGAGTTTGTAAAACTTGGGCCGTCACAGACGCACTGGCCTGACACTAGATTAAGGGTACGTTTGGATATGGTAAATTTGAAGGGAGAGAGAGAAAAAAAAAAAAGAAAAAGAAAAAGAAAAAGAAAAAGAAAAAAAAGGCAGTGATAGTGTGTTTTGTTGCTTAAAAATGAGAGAAAAGAAATGATATGTTTTGTTGTTTAAGTAGTATTCCGATACTGCCCTTAATAATTAAAAGGTGAAAATTATTATTTCACTCATATCCTATTTATTTAAAAAGACATAATAGTGATTTGGTTGTTATAATTTCTCTTCTTTTTCCCCTCTATCTATATTTGTCGTATTCAAATAAGAATATTATCTTTTATTTTATTTTCTCTTCTATCTATCCAAACATAAATAGAAACTATTGTTATAATTTATTTTCTTTTTTTTTTTCCTCATAAATAATACTAATTTTTTGTTTTTTTTTTTCCTTTTCTCTTCTATGTATTCAAACAAAGCCCAAAACTGCTTATCTTATTAGGGAAACTATCTTTGATCCGATCTGAAACAAGCCTCCTGTGTTTTTGGGTTGAGTTTTGCAATCAAACCCAGCCCAAGCTCAAAAGGCCCCCCAAGACCCAAAAAAAACCCCAACCCAAAAGGCCGTTTAACCCGACCCGATTGGTGAGATGCAAGCAGTTGCAGTCCTTCTTTGCGTCATCAATTTCAAAACCTACCGTCTCTCTCTTTCTCTGTGCGGCGTGGAGAGTTTCTACATCGGAGCTATTTTGAAACTCAACATAAGGTAACTGATCCCTTAACATCGGACGTAGAAATTGAATTGTCTTTTGTGATTATTTTTTTTGTATTTCTCTCTTCATATTAAATTAGTATTTTTCAATTTGTTTATCATTACGGCTTCTCTATTCTAGGGCTTGAATTTCATTGCTTAGATTTTCCGTTCCAGGGACCGATTGAAGGTTCATTGTTTAGATTCTCTGTTCCAGGGACCGATTGTTTACCCCTAATACTCTGTCCTTCCATTTTAGAATCTCTTACAAACTTATTTTCCTGTTTTGTCCTTTGTTTGTGTGATGATTTATATGTGTGTGTATATATATATATATGTATGAATTTTTTTCCTAGTTATGATTTTTATGTATATACACACATTCTTTTTGTTGGTTGAGATAGTTTTTAATGTGTTATTTTTAGTGCTTTAATAATCTGCGGATTCCATCTACGTTTTGGATGTTAGCATTTTTTTCCGTTTTTCCTTCATCCCAGAATTCTAATTTCTTTCTTAAAATTAAGAGAGGGGGACCTGTATTAGGAATGTATATTGTATATACCTTTGGGCATGTTTGCATTTATGTATGCATATATATGACGTGTGTTCTTCGTATCTTCACATTATATTTGAATAATATCAATAATGTTTTTCATGCGTTTTGAGTTAATGGATAGTTATATGTGGTCAAAATCATAATTTGTTTTATGCAAGGGTGAGTATGGAAAGATCTGGTGATATGGAAAATCATAAAACTATAGTGAGAGGCTAATTTGGATATATAAAATTTAGGGTATTAATAATAAGGGAAGAAAAAAAAAAAAAAAAAAAAAACGTTTTTAAGAGTAAAGCCTATGCTTTGAGAACTAGTTCGAAATTATAGGCTACATGACCAAAGTAGGGTTTTGTTCTCCCCATGTTTTGAATATCTGAAAAACTCAAACATCAAATCTAGGATTATGATTTTGAAATTACTGAAGCCCCTGATAAAAGCACTTGTAGAAAGCCTTGATAAAATCACAACTCGTTTGTTCAGAAACAATTGGAGCCACAAGACCTATATCTGGCAGATCTAAATTAGCATCTACTTATGTCATCTGGAGTTTACGTGACACGCACTCTCTGCAATCTCCCCTGTGGAGAAAAAATAAATATAAAAAAATCCCTAGAAACTCCAGAAGTTGTCGTGAACCCTCATTCATGCCTATCAGAAGTGCAGAACTGCTGGTTCAATTACACCTCAAAGCCTAGACTTTAGCTTTGCACTATACAGTTTTTTCAAAACAGTTTGAGGATCTGTTAGAGTCCATCTCTTGTTATCAAAGGTCTCTCTCTCCCCCCTTATGCGGATGCTTGGTTGATACATTCACGCATGTTAGTATTTTATATTTATGTATCTATAGTTTTTGTGTATTTATTTGTTTTAGTAATTTAGCTAAATTTCTTGGTTTATATGTTATAGTAATTGTAATAGGGATCATACAAGTGGTCTGGAACTGAATCAATATACACTGACCATATTTAAATTATCTGTGAAATGTATAGTAATAATGAAAGCTTTAAATTAATTTGAAAACAGGGTGCATTTTGTTTTAAATTTCCATGTAAATTCCATTTTCGTCTTCTGTTTGTTTGCTATTTCCTTTAATACAAGGATAAGAGGAAAAAGTAATAAAACCATGTGATTGAGATCATTCAAGGATAAAAAGAAAAAGTATGTGATACAGTGACCTCTCATCAGAATTAATTGCTTATAGTATCTATTTCTCTGTTAATTGATTATTTATTTTTCATTTTGTCTGAATTTTCATAAATCATTTATTTCTTTTGGGTACAGGCTTTGGACACTGATCCAGCTGGTGGTTTTGAGGCAGGCAAAGGACATAGTTATCTGTGTGAAGATTTGTTGGTTTCTTTCAATCTCCATCCTTTTTGGTTTGGTTTGTGTCTATTAAAACCATGTCGGTGACGGCAGGTGTTAGTGATACTATTATTGCCATTAGGGATAAGCTTAGAGGTAAAATTGGGCAAACAAAGGTTAAAAGGTATTGGCCTGGTAAGGCTCCTGAATGGGCGGATGATGCTGATGAAGATGGGGATATCAGGATGTCTAGGACAGTGGCCCTGGAGAGAGCCTTTCCTAATCAGGATGATTCAGATATTGCAAGACGGGATGATCCTAGGTTGCGCCGTTTAGCTGAGAGTAGGATAGACAACCGTGAAGAAGTAAGAGCTGATCACAGGCGCATCCGACAAGCTGAGATTGTTTCAACAAAAGAAGAAGAAAATAAAAGACAAGAAAAATTAGATTTAGAGGAAGAGGATGAGGATGCCTTGGAGGAAAAGAGGAGGAGAATTAAGGAGAAGTTACTTCAGAGGCAGCAAGAAGAAGCTGCACTTCTTCCAGAAGAAGAAGAGGAGGAAGTAGAGGAAGAAGAGGAAGAGGAATCCGAGTACGAGACTGACTCAGAAGAAGAACAGATGGGTATAGCAATGGTGAAACCTGTTTTCGTTCCAAAGTCAGAAAGAGATACCATAACTGAGCGCGAGAGGCTTGAGGCAGAGGAGCGAGCCCTTGAGGAACTAGTGAAGAAGAGACTGGAGGAGAGAAAGGTGGAGACAAAGCAGATAGTGGTTGAGGAGATTCGGAAGGATGAAGAAATTCAGAAGAATTTGGAATTGGAGGCCAATATTGCGGATGTAGATACTGATGATGAACTAAATGAGGCAGAGGAATATGAAGCATGGAAGGCCAGAGAGATTGCAAGGATCAAGAGGGACAGGGATGACCGGGAGGCAATGTTGAAGGAGAAGGAAGAGATTGAGAAGGTTAGAAACATGACTGAGGAAGAGAGGAGGGAGTGGGAGAGGAAGAATCCGAAATCTGCTCCCCATCCCAAGCAGAAATGGAGGTTCATGCAGAAGTACTACCATAAAGGTGCTTTCTTCCAGTCAGATCCAGATGACTATGCTGCAACTGCTGGGGCAGATGGTATCTACACTCGTGATTTCTCTGCTCCGACTGGAGAAGATAAGATGGACAAGACCATACTACCCAAAGTCATGCAGGTGAAGCACTTTGGTCGCAGTGGGAGGACCAAATGGACACATCTTGTCAATGAAGACACGACTGATTGGAATAATCCGTAAGTATAATTTTTCTGTCAATATCCTCCTTTCCCATTTCTCCCTTTAGAATAAAAAGACATGTCTCACTAACATAAAAAAGATTCTTCACATTGTTGCTCAGATTGTGGTACTTATATATTTTGTTTTATCCTACATAGATTCAAAATACTTAAGAATCCAGAAGTTTTAATTATTCTCTACTCATAATCTACAAAGCTTATTATCATGAGTGCCTAGAAGCAACCTTTTGTTTTCCCATTTCTGTTGCCCTCTTCCCTTCCGCGGTAGCTAGGAGCAATTTATGGAACGAACCACACGCCTTTGTCTGGCCAATCGGTGATAGGTTGGCGTGAAGAATCCTCAACACTTTAAATTACAGTGCCGCTCAATTAACACCATCATTATTTTATATCTAAAATAATGCCTGTTAATCATTTAGTAAAGGGATAACAGCAGGATGTGTATATGATTCTAGATTTCCAGGTTCAAAAGAAAAAGTGGAAAATCACCATCTTTTAAGCTTATGGAATATGATTAGACTTAGCTTTTATTTGTTTAAAATATAAGTAATGACATCTTTGTTTACATGAATGCAAATTAATGAATATGGAACAAGAACGATATTTACGAAGATTTTTTTTTTTCTTCCTTTTTTGGAGTCAGCATGCAAAGGAAACTCAATTCCAAGCTTTGTAGTTGTTAATTTGCGGTATGTCTGGCATCCAATGGGATTTGTTGATTCTATCTTTAAGCTCTCTCCGTATTAGTAAAGTGTTGTGGTATGGTATGACATCCAAAATATGTTTCAAAACCCTGTCTCATGCTAAATTTTCAACATATGTTGCAAAATACTTGAAATCTGGTCTACATTGTGACATATACTCTCTCAAACCCCCTTCCTAATCATTCAAGTTACTTGCTTGAGTGATATTTCTTTTACATGGGCGAGTCCCTGATGGGTCAATGGTTATAGACTCATAGGGTGTGTTTGTGATTCTAGATTTCTCTTCGTTCATTCTGTGCCTTTGAAATAAAAAGTGGGAAATAATCATATTTTAAGATTTTGCGTATGATTAAACTTAGATACCATTTGTTCAAATTTCTTAATACGTGAATCCAAGTAGAACAATAAAACAAAGGAATGACATCTATGTTTACATGAATGTAAATAAAATGAATATGGAAAAAGAACAATATTTACAAAGAAACTATTTTTGTACATTTTGGAGTTAATGTGCTAAGGAAAATATCAGTTCCAAGCCTTTGTAGTTACTAATGGGAATTGTAGATTCAATCTTTAAACTCTCTGCTTGTCACTAAAGTGTTTGTGGGATGAAATCCAAATTATGTTTCAATTTCCTTTCTCATGCTACATTTTCAACGTTTGTTGCAAAACACTTGAATCTGGTGAACATTGTGCCATGTATTCTTTTTTCTCTACCCCTACAAAACACTTGAATCTGGTGAACATTGTGACATGTATTCTTTTATCTCTACTCCTAATCATTCTAGCTGCTAGCTTGTGTGATATCTCTTCTCCCAAAAGGTGAGGTACATGATTGAGTTCCTGTTAAGTCTTGGTTAGTATGTGTTATTTATCAAAAAAGATAATTAGTGTATAAAATTAAGGAAAAATTTAATAAATTACAAGTTATAACTGCTATAGTACAAATACGACCGTATTCAAATAGTATGTTGGTGAAAACGCCAATAAACATTACTAATTACTAGTACAGTTAATATGCTATTTTGGTCCAAAATGCCCTCTATATATCTCTCTCATGCGCGTCCCCACTTTTTCTCTATATCACCACCCCCACCGCATACCTTAGCCACTCCAATCACCGACCACCACCCACTACTGACAGCCACCAAGCCCAACAGCACCACCGTGCTCCACCATCACCACCACCCACTACCCACCCTCATCCAAACCCAAACTTACGGGGAACTCAATTATTGCAGGAGGAGCACCGGGCTCGTGATTTGTTTTATGCTCTTTGGGTTCATGGAAAGAGTGCAAAATAATTGGCAATGGTCCTTGTTTTGCCTAAGTGAGGCTCTAGGTTTGGCTTATTGTTGGGGTGAAATTTCATATTTATAGTACCCTTGTTATATATTTAGGGCAAAACAAAGATGGCTGTATAGGCAAACCCTAATGGCGATGATCGCGTACAAGGCACTAATGAGCAACGGCGGTGAGATGTTGGTAAAAACAACGATGATGAGACGACCAATTATGTGAAAACGACGATAATGATGTGAATGCTCCAGTGAAGACAAGACAGTGAAGTCACTGACGAGACCGACCACCATTCGATGGAGATGATTGTGACGACAATGGCTGTGCGAGGAGGAGATGATAGTGATGGAGGAGGCTGTGATTTTGATTGACGGAGATTTGGGTTTGCTCTCAACGGTGGTGGTGTGGTGATGGCTGTTGGCTTGGGATTCATGTTTTGCAGCTAGGGATTGGGTTTTACGATTGGGTTGCCAACGATGGGGTTGGATTGGTTGTTTGAGTGATTGGGTAGGCGATTGGTGTTTTGTGTTTGGGGTTACGGTTGGTATTCGAGTGTTTGGGGTTTGATGGGTTGTTTCAAGTGATTCGGTGATGGTGATTTGCTCTGTGTTTGGGGTTACAATTGGTGTTCTGATTGTGATTGGGAAATCTCCGTTACCGGGCAACAAAACAGAGCAATTCCTCTATAGACTGCTTGCTAGTAATTCCTCTAGAGGTTGTGATTTATACATATATATGTATATGGAGTTGGAGATTTGTTGTGTATATTATGTAGAGAGAGAGAGAGAGAGCTGGTTGGTGGTGGTGGGGGTGTGCTTTGCCGGAGAGAAATAGTGGGTGGGTGGTGGTAGTGGTGGTGGTTCATGTTTTTTGAAAAATGGTGGGTGGGTGGATGGTGTGAGACAACCTTGTTTAGGGAGAAGGTTGCCGGAGGTGGTTGGCGGTTGGCGGTGGCAGTGGTGGTGATGGGTTCATGCTTTTGAGAAAGAGGTAATTAGAATTATAGGTGAGGGGTAATTTGGACCCAAATGTATAGGGGTGTGTCAAATACGAAATTACTAGGGTATAAGTTTATATTTGTAATATATTGCGTTAGTGGCTTTATACACTCATTCTTTTTTAATATTGACACTTTTATAATATATAGCAAATATAACTTGTCATTTACTAAATAATCCCTAAAATTAAATATAAAAGAAGAAAGAAAAAAAATAAAGAAAGCTTGCTTCTTAATTATTGTTTGTTGTAATGCAGATGGACATACAATGATCCTCTTCGAGCAAAGTACAATGCAAAGATGGCTGGAATCAATGCACCTATAGCAAAACCCAAGGGGAGCAAGAAGCTAAAGGATTGGGAGACGCGTTGAACTTCTTGGTGCTGTAATATAAGTTGTTTCATTTTTCTTCGTTTTCTGATAGGGTTACTGATAGGGTTACCTCTTCTACTGGTCTTTAATTTTCAATACATGTATGCTTACAAATAATTTTCTGTTATAGGCATGCAGAATTCCTGTTACTTGATGATGGGTTTAGGTATATCCACGTCTTTCATTCTTGTGCTGACGAACATTGTGGAATTGTCTTCTCTGCAGCTCCTCTATCACAATTGAGTACATTTTAGTTGTTGTTTGACTCAACCAAGAAGAAATTGTGGGATCTATATTATTCCCTCCCATTTTCACTTCAGGATGTCATCTCCATTGTAATATTAGTTGCTAAATTCAGGATGATTGATATTAGTTGCTAAATTCTTGTTTAGTGAGGTCCTCTCATCTCATTCAATAGGGCTATATTTGGTAATCTTGATTTTGTTTCCCATAATGTTTCCTTAGATTTCAGATTGTGCTGCCAGAAAATGTTAAAAAGTAATTATTTTAAAATTTGAGAATTGATATGTATATATTTATCAACTATTTCAGCTTTAGCTTTTGGTTAAAAAGTTTTTTGCAGTGAAAACCTCCATGAATTCCTTACCTATTGAAGAACAAAACCTTTGTTTGTTTGTTGATTATAAACCTACAATGAAAGAAAGCACACATGTAATGTTATACTCTTAGCTCTATTGGAGAAGGCCCTAGATGATAATAGTCCTCCAAGAAAATTTTGTAACCTTTAATTGAATCAAAAATAATGTTTCCATTACTCAATTTACAATTTACTCTAAGTAATGGTCTTGGCGAAAAAATACTCCCTTAAAAACTCTGGTTTTGTATAAAACGTGATGAATTGATTTCAAAAGATTATTTTATCATTTCTTAATAAATTTATTGTTTTTTATTATATTTTCTCTTATCTAAATTTTAATTATATCATCTATCTTAATTTTATTAGCAATATCAATTTATCATAAAAATGAAAAAAAAAAAAAAAAAATTGAAGTTGTAACTACCATTTTCTTAAATGATTTAACTTATTATACTAAAAAAAGACCATCATGGTGGGGTATACAGTAGTGAAATGGTAGGTTTCTTGGTACAATTTCAAGAACTCCACAAGAGGTGGCTAGACACATTTTATTTGTATATTAATATTTGTAGTGATGTCATTAAGCTTCAGGTCTCCGATTCTATTTTGCGAGCAATTCAAATATATATTAGTATGAAATAATTTTCATAATTTATTTAAATAAAAAAAAATGAATTAAGTGAAATTCAATAAGAAAGAGTATTATGTTGATTTAATGAAAAATAACCCAGTCTCGTAGGTATTTTGCAAGAATATGTGATAGTTCAGAAGAATTGTCCATTAAACATACTTTAAAGAGTTATTTACAAATTCGAACTTAGAGTTTTTTATTTTTTATTTTTATGACAAATAGAGTGATGATGTTAAAAGAGACTTCAGCCGAGGTCAAATCATGGCATGAAGGGTAAAGAAAAGGAAAGACGAGCGATTGTTTGATTTTGGGCCAATGGGCCCAAATTGAGAGTTCTAGATCGGGCTCTGAAACGGAAGGCCTCCACACTGGGCCCTCGTTTACCCATTACAAATGGATTAGTCGATTGATGTCCAGGTGCCCTCACTCCTCTCTCTCCTCTCTCCTCTCATGGCGGAAGAGGAAGTAGAAACAAAAGTCAATCTTCCTCGCTCAGATCCCCAGCGGCATCTACCTGTAATCTCTCTCTCTCTCTCTCTCTCTCTCTATATATATATATATATATACATGTATTTTTATTTTTACTTTTCTTTCTAGATGCGTGTACTTTTCACATGTACTCCTTTGGTTTTCTGAATTGTGATCTTATACGAAAAACTTTGCTGACCCAGTTCTGGATTATGGATTTCTGTTATTCTGTGCTTGTACATATAATGAGTGTTTAGTGTGTATATATATATATAAAATTTTGCCCCAATTCAAATTGATTGAAGATTAATTCTGACTCCTAATTCATTGAGTAGTTTGTGGAGGTTTGTTGCAAAAGTTCGGGAAACACCAGGCGATTCGCCGCTGGTACGGAGGCAGGATTTGCATTGGGCTTGATAAACAGGAAGCTTGATAGTGGAATTGGTAGTCCACCTGCTTTGCATATTGAAGCAGTTAAAGAAGGGGAGGAACCTGTTAGTTTTGGCCCTAATTCGGTTCTTGTGGATTACGGTGATGGTTGGAAGTTGCAAACTGTTACTGAAATACAAGGTGATTGCCATTGAGTCTCATCATTCAATTCGCATTTACTTTTGCTATGCACAGTGAATTCGCAGTCAGATTTTTATTTTATTTTTCATTTGTGTGTCTTGACTTGATGTTCATTTTCTTGCTTTTAGCTCTTAGGAAAGACGAGCAGGTTCAATCATCAACAACAACAACACATATTTCATCTGTTAAGGTATGGATTCTTATATTATCTCTATAATTATGGGCAATTGGTTGTGGCAATTTATAGGATACCCTTGAAATAAATTTATTTTTAAAGTATTTAGTTCCATGATGCATTTATTAGAACTCTCTGACACTCGCCCTACCCAATTGGCCATCTCAGCAACACTGAAACCCTCCTCCGGTTCATCTTATTTTTTCAAGAGAATAGCCATTGAACTGGTCGTGAGTATTGCAATCTAATCTTTTAGATGGTAAATTCTTAATAGAGTCCATAGGATGATGAAGAATTAAACATTTCAAGTTGTTAGTGCATAATGAATGGAGACAATGAAGAACCACGCCAGAATCAGCTCGAAGCTAGCTTGCTGGTAACTAGAGGCTTGGGTTCTAGTTTTGCCTTCATCAAGGTTGGGGAAGGAGAAGAAGCAATCACACCAGACGGTCATTATGAGTTAAGAATGGCACATTGAGCCTCGCAGACTGTGCTTTGGCATATAGATGTAGATGGGTCGTAGTGTAACATCATATGTAAATCATTGTGTTCTGTTCTTCTCCAATCCCACCCCACATTTTGCTGCTACATGTTTGTTTATTGATTCTGACCTTTGAAAAAGTTTGGGATTTGTTCGATGAGCCTCTCTCAATCTGACGACCATCTTTTTACTTATCAAAAAAAAAAAAAAAGTTGGGATTTGTTGATGAGATTTGTAGCTCTCCATTCATCCGGCACTTAGCTTGTCTCATATTCTCACAACTGCTACACACTCTAGAAATAGAGAAATCATTTTTATGTATTTTCTTCATTATCTAGTGCTCTTTGGCTTTGCCAATTTAAAGTAGGTTTCAAGTATAGCTTAAGCTCATAGCCCTCCTCCTCATTGGGAAAAAGACTACTTCCAATTCCAGCCCCAAACTAGAGGGAAAATTTGTTGTTTTAAGGTCCAAGTCTTGCAGTTATGAACCTTCTTTCAGCTTCGATATAATTCTGTCATCCTCCTATAATTTTTTCATGGGGAGACTGGCATTTTAAACGACTAAATTGAATTTAAGAGATTAAATATTAAATTTGGGAGTCAAATGTCTCATGAGAATTCTATATGTTGTCATCGTTTTTGCAGGGTCTTGATGGCTCACGTCCTATGAAGAGTGAGTCACAACCAGTTAGCAGTTTTCTGTACATTGGAAAGATATTGATTGCTTTTATTTTAATGTTTGTGCTTGGTGCAATTTTCACATTGGCTCTTGAGAATCTTCCTGGCCTAATCTTGTTGATTAACTCGTCAATGTAATATTTGTTGTTGTAACGGTGCCGTTCTTTTAAATTTTTTGCTTTTTTGTTGTTGTCCCGACTCTTGTTAAATTTATGAAGATTTTATGTAACAACCAATGTTCTTTGCAATGTGTATTTGAACTAGAGGAAAATCGTTATGCCCTATTTAAAATTTAAAAGAAAAATGAAATATGTATACACTATACCGTCCATGTTGTGAAGGGCATGAAACGTTTGCGTCAAGAAATGATTGAAGGGAATATTTGGCTTCGTTGTAAAAAGTGACTTGAAGGATTAGACTAGATATTATGGTGAAATGAGCTCAGATTTAAATTTGCATTCTTATGGTTTCTGTCCATTTTATTACCATAAAGTAGGGTGGGACTTGGGTGGGCCTAACCCAAGCAACTCTATTTTCGCCAGACAGTTAGAAGGGAAAGGACAAGGTCATTGAGGGACTGGGTTTAAATTTTGTGACCCGAATTTATTTTGAGCGGGATTTGGGCAAAGATTTTAGTAACCCGGAATCCAAGAAACCCAAGGGTCTGCATAGTTTGTTAACTCTGAAAACAGTTCACACGAATTCAGATAATAGAAAACTGTTCTCAAAGAACAAATTTTTATAGGTTTGTAACTCTGAAGGCAGTTATCTGAAAACAAACCTTTTTATAATTGAATTTTCATAAAATAGTTTTTAGAAAATTGAACCAAACAATAGTGTTTTGTACAGTTTTCTATTTTCAGTTTTTCAGAAAACTATTCTTAAGAGTTACAAACCAAGTAAGGCTGACATTTTTATACTTGAGTTTTTAAAAAACAAAGAGTTTGTATACAGTTTTTTGAGAACCCAAAATATAAGAATAGTTTATACTCCACTTATATGCAAGACTATAAGTAAAATAAAGTTAAATCTAGATTATTTATAGTATCATCAATCATGGATACATGGCATTCATCTAATTTTGTTTCTTTGACACACAAAACGCCAATTTCTACATAACTAGTGTTGCCGGTACAAACCATTCGGGAGCATAGCAATTATATACCCCCTTAAAGTCCAACCTCTTACGCAAGCGAGGTATGATAATAAGGATTCCACCTTCCCTTTAACTGGTATTAATTTACATGAGAAAAGGAGCACTTACACCGGCCTTTCACTCCATTTTTTGATTTATTCAATTACATACACACATTTATTTTTATAAATTAAAAACCTATAATAATTGAATTTTAGTTAAGGAAATAAAATATTAAAGAATATCAACTATTGAGTTCTTTCAAGTTTTTGTTATGGGAACTTTTTGGATCATGTTATCTCTATTGAAACTTGGAATGATTGATATATCTTTTATTAGAAATTATTATTATTATTATTATTATTATTTTGAAAGGTAGAAATTATAAATTATTGTTATAACATCATATTACACATAATTTGGTTGGTTTTTTCACATGATATGAGAGATTTTATTGTATGTCAAGTATATGTCCCTATATACTTTAACATTTTATTTCTTACAAATTTATTTATTAATAGTTTATTAAAATTTGGGATGACCCGATGGGTTTCTCGGGACTTAAATTTGGCGCAAACTAAAATATTATAACCTTGAGTTGACGTGGACTAAACCCTTGACTCACCCAAGTCCCGCCCTTACCATAAAGTAACTCCTGGGGCAAATAGTGCCCCTCTCTCTGTTTTACAACATTTGATGGTATTTAAAAGAGACCATTCTATACGTCATATAATTAAAATTTTCTTATGTTACATTTGAAGTTAGGTTGGAATGGTCATTTCACTTTTCATCCAATATTTCGAGCAAGAAGCCACTGCCTTTGGTAGTTTCTGTGTTTGAGTAAGGGTGTGCACAAGTCTCAGTTGCCATATCCAAGCAAGAGCCCCCAAATGACTGCTACATGGCAATAGCAAAATTTACAGCACGCATCATGGGAATACCTGTCTGGCTGTCTACTTTAGTGGGAGCAAAAAATTACTTTCAAAAGCAACAAAAACACTTTCAAATCCACTCCCTAAGGCAATAGCTGTTTGAACATTACCCAGTGACCTAATTGGTAGAGCACCCAGCTCTCCGAACGGTTGTGCTTGTGTTCGAGTTCTCCCTCCCCATAGTTTTGGTGTAGCTTCCGTGATGGCAGTGTCTCATTCATTAGAAATTAAATTCACAAGAGGAACAATGTAAAATAAAACTATGTTATTACATCATTGTAATCCTTATAAAATAATTCTGGACGGAATGCTATTATCAAAATAGAAATGAATAAAGCCAAGCCAGCCTAGCTTCTATACAGTGACATCAATAAAAAGAGAAAACGGAATAAATAAATAAAATTGAAAAAGTAAAGCATACTACTGCCGCCTCCATTCATTTTGAAGAAAGTATATTGTCAGCGCACTGAAAAATCACAGTAATAAAGAGCCATTTGAGTAATTTCCACAGTAATCAGGCTTTCCTATCTTTGCACTTACATAAAGACATTTTTTTTCTCTTTTGGTCCTTTGAATATTCACATTTGTTGGAAAGTCCCCCATCTCTTTGGTCCTTTGAATATTCACATTTGTTGGGAAGTCCCCTATTACCAAAAGAGAGAAAAAGAATCACCACAAGAATATAACTATCAACTATAGAGACACCTGACTGGTTTCAATTCATGAGCCTTGCCTCCTAATAAATATTTTAATTTAAGAAACGTTAATGTCAACTCTGAAACTGAGAGATGATTTTGGTGACAATTTGATCATTAGATCATAGAGGCTGAAGGTGCATGCCTTGTGTAAATACTAAATCTGACGTGATGCACTGCGATAAATCTCATCCACATGGCTTGTTGGCACATAAATTGCATTTAACAGTGCACTGTGCTTCCGGCCATAAAATGCATACAGTAATGCTCCTGCTACCAGCCATACCGAAACACGGATCCATGTGCCAGCTCTGGGTGTTCAGAAAAGAAACATAAATCATGTGCATTATGCATACACGTCAGTACTGAAGCTCATTCAATACACAAGAAGAGAGAGAGAGAGGGGGGGCACAACAACTGACTAGATACTCACCCAAGATTTATTAGCAAGTACGTGTTTATGAGAATGCAGGCAACAGGTAAAAGCGGAACAAATGGGCAAACGAAACCTGAAGAGAAGTGAACAAATCAAACCTTAATTTGCTTGCAGATTGTCGCATGCATACTAAAATAAATTGTTTTCTTAAATAAAACAATTTATAACAAATACAGCCATACACATATTTGGATATCGATGTATACAGAAAAACTTTTGTCAAATTTCAAGCAAGGGTTGGGGCAGCAGCATTGCCGAGCCCAGAACAGACCAAAAAGATATCCAAGCATTTTACTTGTTAAATATAAACTAATTTGTGGGACTAAACATTTGCTCAAAACTACCAAAGATTATTTTGATTCTTAATTATATAATAAGTGAAACTCCTTGATCAGACACATCAAAATTGCAGCTTATCAAAATCTCATTAATGTTGGAATAATACAAATTCAGCATACCTCCAGTGTGTCCAAAGTTGTGCCTTGCGTCATCTTGATCTATACAGGTGAGCACAATCAAACCACATAACAGTAGCACGCCACCCACTCCGCACAATGTGAAGCGAGGAATACTGGTACAGTCCGCAAGTTTAGATAGTCAAGCACAATAGCAAAAAGTAACTTTCAAATGTTGCAATTCACATATGACTTCCTAAGCCTACACGCCGAGGAAAGTTATTAGAAGAAAAAGTAAGTTTGGGACTATAGCATGTGAACCCTTTATAAGCGCAAGGCATATCACCATATACCACCATTAGCAACCCAAACAAGCTTACTCCAAATTCACATCACCTCTCTTCCAGATAGGAGAAAAATGCCAGGTCAATCATAAATAAGCAAAGTCTGATCCAACTGAATCGGTCCAAATGATACTAAATTAAGCTTAAGAGCCAAAGGACACATTGAGCAAATCAGAACCATACATATTCTTCTTTTTTCATGACTCCCAAGTAACCAAAAATGTTTTTTTTTTTTTTTTTAAAGCATCTATACACCCTTTATAGTAATTATATATTTAACAAATAATGTGTATCATGTTCACTTACCAAATTAATTATTCAATCAAATGACAAGTTTACGAGTCAGAACTATAATATGCACAGTAAACCAGATAAAGCTTCACATATCTTTCTCTTCCAAAGTGGTCATCTAAAACAAGTCTACAATTATCACCTGTAATGCAGTTGATGTAGACACTAGTTTGTATATTTAGGAAAAAAAGGTGTCCAAGGTGTTAGAGACCAGGTATCAATCTCATTAAAATATAAAAGCTTCTTTATTATCAGATGAAGGTAGGTAGTTGGCCTTCTGCAAGTGTTTTTTTTTTTTTTTTTTTTTAGCCTTCTTGAAACCGACGAGAGGAAGCCAAGCAGAAACCAAGCCACGTGTTAGAATTGGATATCTGTAGTATGTAAATTGAAGAAATATTAACATGAGAACAGTAAGCATCGAAGGTATTGATATTAACAGCAATACCTTCTATACTTGAATACCTGGGGAGTTCTTCAGCCGAAGCAGCAGATGCAAGGGCAAGAACACCTATACAAACAAGAGCTATGTTCCAAGCAGCAATTTTGTGCCTCCATTCTTCATTTAGTTCACCTGTGCAATTACGTTTACAACCCAAACAGAAGGTATTCAATTAGAAAATTTTAGAAATTAAGAAGTGAACATCTGTTGGTGGAAATTTATATCAGAAATTTAGAAGTAACTTGTTCAGAAAGTATAATAGTTGCATTAATCACCAAAGAGTAATTAAATCTCTCTCTCTCTCTCTCCCCTTTGTTTTTTATTTTCAAAATTTCAGCAACAAAGGTGCATTAGGCACTTATCAAAAAACAAAAGTGCATTATGGCCAATAAAGGGGAAATCTTCATCAAAACTAGAACCTAAATCCAGGAAAAAGCAAGCCAAATATAATTACTAACAGGGAGACACAGAAAAACAAAAAAAAAAAATTTAATTTTTTCTTTTCTCCTGGCTACCATTCTTCACTACACTTCTGATGGTTACGCTTCAGTCCGTTTATAACTTTATATACAGACTATTTTTCTAGAAATCTACAGGGGATAAAAATAGGCATGCAGTTTTGCTATGATTTGTGGTGCTTTCTTTGTGACCATAACAAACAATTTAGACTGGACAATCAGGTGGGACCCATGCAAGTGAGCAGTACATAAATGCTATAAATGATAATACTGCTCGTCAACCTGCATATTAATTAAAGGATTAAATTCTTTAAAAACCGTATTCAGGTCAAATCTATTGAACTAAGATATTTTACTTTCTTAAGTCCTGTACTTAAACATTACGAATAGGAAATAAGCATATTTACCAGCATGCCAATCAATATTTGGCATTACTGGAAAAGGAACTCATTAAATTCTTTATTTCTTCTTCTTCATTTTTTTTTAATAGGGATGTCTAGTGTACATTTCAACAACACAGCAGATTTATTATGACAAACATGTTGCACAAACAAAACAACAGAGCATTTATTACGTATTATATTTCAACACAAATAATTAATTTAGTGTTATCTGAACAACAGCATATAAGAATGAAAGCATCAAATTTATAGTTACCTTGAGCTACTTCTTTCTGAATAAGAGGACATTTAACTAAGGTCTCTCCGTTATCAAGTGAATGTTGACCATTTCCATCCCAGGATTTAACAGGATGTTCAGAGTGTTGCCCGTCAATATCCTGATTTCCGCCACTGTATCGCAAAGACACTAAATAAATTGATTCCTGAAGTGATGGTGGAAGTGGCACCTTATTTGGTGGAACATATCTGAGTACCAAGAGTGAAATTGCAACAGCTGTAAATGCAAGCAACGTACCCACACTAACCTGCACAAAAAGGCAACAATAGACTATTACTTCTTCATATTTTAAAGTTCATATTTATCAAACAGAGGTGACTTCCTAACCAAACACCTCCCGGATCATTGTCACCTGTATAATTAACTCACCATCCCAGCCAATTGTGAAACATCCATAAAGAATGCCAAGGTTGCAGCAAAGATACCAGTCACTATTGTGCTCTTCACCGGAACTTGCGTGCGTTCATTAATTTCTGAGAAGAATGACGGCAACAATCCATCTCTAGCCATTGCCATCAGAATTCGTGGCTGAAAACAAGGACAAAGGAATTTCATTTTTACCATGTGCAACAAATCCTTGATTTATGATGATGAAAATAATATAATTACATAATAGTAAGTCTTATGGTTGAAGCAGCACCGACTAGAGATAAAATTTAAATGAGAGAGAAGCGATTGAGATGGTTTGGCCATGTGCAGCAATGGCTAATAATTACACTGATTGTAAAAATAAATAAATAAAACATGGTCCTTATAGAGCGAAAATCTAGGGGAAGGGAAAAGCCAAGACTAACATGGATTGAATTTGAGATATTTAAGAAGATATGATAGCATGCCGCTTCATTGAGGCTATGGCACTAAATAGAGCGGGATGGTGGAACATGATTGATGTAGCCGACCCAAAATACCCCAAATACTTGGCGAAAGGTTTTGGAAAAGGAAGTGTTCATGTTCAAGGACAATACCAAAGGAAAGAAGCAAACCAATAATCAGGATATTATGAAGTTAAATGAAGAAAAAATGAACTACTAAAAAATTCTTGTATGGGAGACGAGACAATAATGGTTGCAGCAAATATCCAGTATACTGTTTTCCAGGTATCATATGCTGGCTTGAATTTCAATATCATCTTGTGCCTATAATGTCTGAATACTAGAAAACAATTTGTCTTGTGAAACCCTGGGGCTCTATTCTTATGGTGACTAATAGAATCTAGAAATCAATAGGAAACAGTATTGCATATCTTCACAATGTGTACCCAAGTCGTCTGACACTTGTTAGGCTTTTCTTATAGATTCCAATCTATTCTAGAATGGTTCAAGTTTATAAACTTAATAGTAATAGGTCTACCATGATGGGCGGGTCTAGTTGCCTATAGTCTAAATTTGAGTCCACGACAATTAACTACATGCCCAAGCAACTTGCAAAGGGATCAAACTTACAACAAAGACTGCAAATATGTATAGTAATAAGGATTTCAGGTCAGATTCTAGTAAAATAAAATTTATGGTCTCAATGATCTCTCTCCCACTCTTTTTCTTTTTTCACTTGTGTGCATCAAAGTTTCATAAATGTCACAAATGATGACCTATAGCCCTTATTATCTAAACTATGTATACCACTGACCTATAGCCTTTATTATCTATTCTATATAGTAATTGAAAGACTACAAGAAAAAGTATGAACGTCCGAGTTCTGGAACTTGTGAATTTTGAGTCTTGCTTGCAAAAATAATTTGCCAGTCTAATCCAAAATCAAAATTCCAAGCTATACGCCTTAGATCCAAGTACCTTCCACGTTGAACTTTTACTTGTAGACATCAGATTATCACCCAGGCGATATCAGGTTCCAGTGGCATGAATGCTGAACTTATTTAAAATGCTTTAAGCTTTGGAACAAGAAGCTCAAAAGTATAACTTTTTTTTTCCCGACTGGAATGAGCCAACGTGTTCTAGTTGGAATTTCTGACACAAAATTTCTTGTTCGTAACTAGATCCACCTCCCTCGCATCAAATTATTTCCCAAGTCATTCAAAAAAAAAAAAAAAAACTGCAATGTGGTACTCTCGATTTATATTGTCTCATGTTACCATAATTCCCCATTTATAAACTCTTGCTAAATATTTTTCCAAAAAAACTAGTAACTAGTAAAAAATGATGGATACATTTGTATTTTTTTTATTTAAATAGAAAGAAAACACATTTCTGGATGCATTTTAATATCATAAAAGGAAATTACAAATCTATACACATGTCTCTGGGAATGAACCAGATAGATTGAAATGCCTCTTTCAAGTGTTGACCTGAGGATTATGATATAGTACAAATTGAATGTAAAAACTCATTGTACCTGAGGAAGAACTCCACCAATCAAAGATGCACCAAGAGCAGTAACTGCTCCAGTTGTTATTATATACCTGCAATTTTAACGAGGAAATATGGAGTTTAAAATGGAATTTCTTCTGAAATGCCCACGGAAGGCAGAACATACTGGAATCACCACAAATTACAAGAAAAATATATTGCTTACATTGCCCATTCCATTCCATAGTTAGCAAAAGCTGAGGAGATTGGGGTGTCTGGATCCAATTCATAATATGGTACTAAGCCAACAATAACAGCAGATACAAGCATATACAAACAGCAACACATAAACAACGAAATCCCTATGCCAAGTGGCAAATCTCGCTGAGGATTTTTCACCTGTCATTACTCATGATTAGAAAAAAGAGAACTTATGTCGAAATCTGAAAACTTTTAAAGAGCAAACTCAGGTACATTGAAGACTCTACTGAATACTTTACTTTCAAATATGCATGGACCCTTCAAAAGTGCTTGAAGTACCTGTGTCAAACACACAACACCAGGAAATCGGTATGTGATATGTGTTACAACCCTTTTTGGTTGGATTATATTACATTATTTTACTTGCATGTGTTAGACAGTATGTCACATAAAAATATATAAAAAGTAAAAGACAAGCAATATGAATAACTAGCAATGTGCATGGACCCTTCAAAAGTGCTTGAAGTACCTGTGTCGAACACACAACACCAGGAAATCGGTATGTGATATGTGTTACAACCCTTTTTGGTTGGATTATATTACATTATTTTACTTGCATGTGTTAGACAGTATGTCACATAAAAATATATAAAAAGTAAAAGACAAGCAATATGAATAACTAGCAATGTCCCTGTGTCCTTCTATGAGGCGATTTGTATTGGATGTTTGGACGGATACCCTTACACAACAAACGAATCCATGTCCATGTAAGATAGATTATGGTCTCATAGAAAATGTACAACCTAAAGAAAAACTAACCTAATCCTAGTTTAACAGTTCTAGAAATCAGCGCAAACTGTGTGCGCATGCACAAGTCTGGTAAACATATAACCAGAAAGTCTCTAGCTAAACTGTTACGTCCTTATCCTCCTACATGGGATGTTGAGGATTCAGGTCCCCATTTGGGTAATAAAGGGTGTGTGTGAGAGAGTTGGGGTGTGTGTATCTTATCTATCAAAAAAAATGATAAATATCTGTGTGTGTGTGTGTTCAGAGAGGATATAGTGCCTGAGGAATATTAAATGAAGGATTTAATTTAAGAACCCTATGAAGGCTTCGCATCACAAAGTAAGAAAGATTTAGAAATCTAATTCCATAAAATCTCCAGATTTTGAAAGTATATTTTTGGGGAATATATATATAAAGTATAAAAAGTATATTTTTGGGACAAATATGGGCATTTGTAATTCATGCTCAATGAACTGAAGAAAACTGTGTAATCCATGACAGATCATAGGGGTTATAGTGATGTTCTCTCATCCATGCTCATATAAGAATGTAACACATAATAATATTCTATCATTGCTTAGTTGCTTATTTAACCAAACTAGATGAAACCTGAAAAAATGAGTGAAGAAAACCCAGCACCAGTCACGAGCACTTCTTGCGAGTCATGAAACTCTCAACCACTGTGATTCCACTTAGTATCCATTTAAAACTAAAAAAAAAGGGGGACTGGGAAAGAATCACTTTTAATTTGTCTCCTTGAGAGAGAGAGAGAGAGAGAGAGAGTGTGGTTCCCTTACCAATTGGAAGCTCAATAGTCCTTATATTCTCATCGCTTTGTTCAAAGAATTTTGAAAATGACACATGTTCTGTAGCATTTCATTTGCGTATTTGGGAATAAGTTGTGGAAAAACCTTGTAACTAAATTCTTCTCCCTCCTCTTTCTTTATCACACTTCACAACCCCTGTGATCTCTATATAATGCTTACAGTGTTAATTAGACTAATAAATATAAGACTTACAATTTAGTCTACTTGATTTGTGTGATGAGGTAGCCTGATGTCATAGCTGTTCGCTGTAGCAGGGCTTAATAATAAATACTTTTGGTGAAGTTGAAGTTTTTTCAAACAAAATCTTGACGTTTATCGACCATTTCGATTAATCAATGGAAGTTATTAGTTATAACTAAGAAACACAAACTAAGATTCTTTGTCCTGAACTTTTTATTAGAATAGCTCCACTCATGTTATGCCTAGTGTCTGCCAGTCAAATGCCCAAAAAAGGGAGAGTAGTGTTAGGTAATTGACAGCTGCCTGGTAATTGATGAAGTCTGGACAACTTTGAGAAACACAAACTAAGAATTTTTTTCACACACTTTTTATTAGAATAAGTCCTCTAGTGTTATGCCTAATGTCTGACAGTCGAATGGCCAAAACAAAAGAGAGTAGAGTTAGGTAATAAAAGTCGCCTCATCGTTCATGAAGCCTGGACAATTGGATAAATCAGATCCAATGCATTGCAAATGGGAAGTCGAGATTAGCATCAGAAGGTAGTGTTATATTTTATAATCCATTATCTTGGGATTTCCTGTGGGAAGTAGCATACCTAATAAAATAAGATTATAAACAGAAAGATTTCAATTCAACTTTTTTTTCAACCACCTTTTCTTACACCTCTTTCTCCCTACACAACATATAAAAATCAGTCAATTAACAGCAACTTCATACCTCTTCAGCTGCACCGGTAATTGAATCAAAACCAATATATGAAAAGAACACTGTAGCAGACCCAGCAAGCATTCCACTTACTCCGAAAGGACAGACCCTACAAAATCACAAGGAATTGCTCACTGATAGCATGTACGACCTAAGATGATAGATGAAAATAACATCCATTACCCGCTTGGAAGTTCATATCCAACCCATCCAGTCTTAAAACCAAGATATCCACCAGCTATTATGACGAAAATCATGGCACAAACATTCATGGTTGTAACAATGCCTTGGGCAAGTGAACTCTGTAAAAATGAGTGTTTTATTAAAGGCAATAAAATATCAGAGCATAAATGCAAAAGAAACTCAATGCAAAACAGTGAAGGGAAAATATTACAAATATGGGGGGGAAAAGTAGCAGACCTCCTTGATTCCGGTGCACAGAATCCCAGTTACAATAAACATCATAATTGCAGCACATGGGTCAACCACAATACCCATAATTGTCTGACGGGCAATGAAAACAGGCAGCTTATCCTCCCCTCCAAAGAACAGGGCCTGCAAGAATAAAATGGATAATATGGTTATCTTGAAATTTAGAACCCTCCGGACTTCCAAAAATGCATAATGATCAAAGGCAAAAAAACAACTTGAAATAAGGCAAAGCCTCATATCAATCTATGTAAATCAAAACCAAGATCAAATTATCCTCTTATTTCACTCATTGCAACCGTATAAGGTTCAATGTTTGTGCACCAAATCAATCTATGTAAATCAAAACCAAGATCAAATTATCCTCTTATTTCACTCATTGCAACCGTATAAGGTTCAATGTTTGTGCACCGAATCAATTTCAAAATAATTCTTAACTTAATAATTGGGGTTTCCCATCTTCTACCAAACCGGGTTCAATCAAAGATGCCAAAGCTAGAGGACTGACTCCGAAAGGATATTAACAACACACCAACACAAAAGATATGCTATGAAGCACGGATACGGACACTGGACACATGTACAACACGATAAGGTCATGACCAAAAGATAAATCTTAAAACTATAGGACATAGAGACGGCAAGGATACGTCAAAAAAATAATTGTTGTAATATATTATTTACATACAAAAAATTAATTTTTGCTCATTTTAACCACAATATCATGAATGTAACCACTAATTTGGAGATTAGAGCTCAACCGGTGTTGTTTTTGTATTCTAGAATTTTTAATAATTTTTTATTAACCCATAATATGTTTTAAAGTTGCATTGGAATCCTTTCACCTTGTTGTGTCTTGACAGTGTCCCAAATGCATCCCTGCCATGTCCAGCCGTGTCCAACCAGAAAATATATATATATAATATACATTCAAATTTCAGAAAACTCCATGCCATGTCAGAGACGTGTCCAACCAAAAAAAATATTATATATATATTCAAATTCCAGAAAACTCCCTGCCATGTCGAACACGCGTCCAGCCGTGTCCCACGTGTGTACACATGTCCAAAACAGCCACAACACCTCTAGATAAGTGTCGGTGCTTCCTAGAGGTTATTTTTATATGTAATCTGAGTCGATTTCCAGCAGTTCTCATGAATGATGGTCAAAATATCCAAAAGGTGTTCCTTGTGTACATTTAGAGTCATATCTAGCAAACATAAACGTCATAGTAGAACAGTGACATTCTAGAAGACAGATTGTATGATGTTTACCAAAGTTAAAAGAACTAAAATACTCGCTAACTAATACAAGCGAAACAAAAAGATAGAACTACTGGAAAAGAAAATCTACTGCACCACATTTGGAGAGACGCCACGAGCAACGGCTGACCCACCAACTGTATATTCCAGTATCAGAGCCCAACCAATCAACCAAGCGACACTAAGAGCAACCAGAATACTCAAATTGTTAGTTAAAGCATATCAGATCCTATAAATAAAACAATAAAATGCATAGCATGCTCTCTAATTACCATGAAACTAATCATGTTTTCAAACCTAACACGTGGCTATTAAAAATCCAATCGCCGTGCCTTGCAATAAAAACTGGAGCCTGAGATAAGTAATTTTCGCATGCAGATGCTGTTATTTAGAACTTATGTAAATCTTAGCATTAAATTTTATTTCAAAACATTTAGTGGACAAAAATCAACTGATCAAAGAAGCTCCAGCTTACCCTTCTCCAATACATATGTATGAATAATGATATGCACTCCCAGCAGATGGACAACGACATGCAAGCTCCGCATAACAAAATGCTGAAAGTGCAGCTGCTATTCCAGCTATTAGGAAACAAATGGTAAGAGCAGGTCCTGCGTATTCTCTAGCAACTGTTCCAACAAGAATATAGACTCCAGCTCCAATGGTTGATCCAACGCCTGATCAGGAGCATAAGTTTAGCTAAGACCAGCATGCATAAACATCAACACATCATCCTAAAGTAAAAAAAGAAATGGAAGCAAACCCATAAGGCAAGGCAGAAGCCTCGAGGCATGTTGTACCAATTGTGAATTTTGGAATGCGCTTTCTTTTAGCAAATAAACCAACAAAAAGAAGGAAATATGCCCCGAAAAGAGGAAAAGTGTACCAGGAAACAAGTATTCCATTTCATATGTCTGTGGAAATATAATTTACAAATTTCAAATGACAAGTTATTGATGCAGATGCTTTAAGTATGTTAAGACAGATGCTTTAAGCATGCTTTAAGCCTTTTAGTATGCTAAGTCCATATTTATTCACAATAATTTTAGATGAGATCACAAAAGACTTATAAAGAGACATTTCATAGTGCATGTTGTTCGCCAATGACATAATGCTGTTGGACGCTTCTAAAGAAAATTTAGCAATAAAATTAGAAAGGGGGATAGACACATTTGAATCAAAAGGTTTAAGAGTTAGTTGAACAAAAATTGAATATATGGAATATAAATTTAGTAGAGAGTCGGATTTGATGGTGCAATGATCACACTTCAAAAATAAAAGATTATCCAAAGTAACATTTTATATTTAGGGTCAATCATACAAAAGGATGGTGAGATAATTAGTGATAAAATTAGTAGAATTAAAGTAAGTTAGACAAAATGGAGACAAACTAGTGACGTCTTATGTGATAAAAGAATAACAAATAAACTAAAAGGAAAAATTTATAAGACAACTATTTTATATGGTGCAGAGTGTTGGGCTTCAAAAAAGAAACAAGAACAAAGAATCCATGTAGCGGAAATGAGGATGTTAAAATGGATGATAGGAGTGCCTAAAAGGGATAGGGTTAGAAATCAAAATGTGAAGGAGAAATTAAACGTCAGACTTAGGTGGATGGACATATCCAAAGAAGACCTATAGATACACCAAGAAGAAAAAGAAGACTAATTTGTATGGAAGGTAGGAGACATAGATGGTGCTTGAATTGAACATGGGATGAAATCATTATAAATGAAAAGGTTGAATATTATAGGAGAGATGACTTGTAATAGAAAAGAATGGAAAAAGATAATTCATTTGACCGTCCCATTCATATGGGATTAAGGGAACAATGACGATGGACAAATAGTTGTAATAAAGTCAACAGCAACAACACCTTAACAATGTAATAAAACTATGAATCAAAGCATCGTCCGGATGCTGCTGGTATAAGGGATTTCAAGCCTAACCCTGATGGATCGGGATGGCTTAGGGTTTTGTAACTCCATTCTGAATCCTGGATAATACCTTTCAATAATTATAATAATTATAATGATAATTATTATCATCATCATCATCATCATCATCTAAATTGACACCGAATAAAGAATTTGGTAAATAAAGGGTATGAACAGAGCAGGGCAACGAACTATCATTTCTATCAGGAGATAAACATAGATGTGCTGTGTTAAAAAGTACAGACATTACATAACTAATTTTTTATTGCCAACCCAAATGCCTTCGTTATTGTTCTTAAAACATACAGCCCAATGCCTCATCAAAGGAACCAAAAGAGTACCCAAGTTTCCCTCTCCTCCCCCTGCAAAATCCACCTTCCACATATTTTGCATGTAAAAATCAGATGAAAAACTTCCAAAAAAAATACCATTGACTACAATAATGTGTAAATACTTTGTAGCTTGGTTGTAATAGTGTGTGTCCACATGTTCCATTACAAATTAATTTGAAGTTAGTTAAAACTTAGAATGCTCCAAAGGTCCCCACCCCAATTCAGATTCATGACAGGTTTGGGAGAATATCTCTTTGTAAATGAAGTCAAGGTAGAAATGCCCCTGCCAGACCTAACAGGCTGCCATTCCCGATTACATCCTAAGTGGCACAGTCAAAATCCCACAACTGTAAGTGTCGAATAGATCCTTGAGTGATTTCAAAACTCTTAAAACAATAGATCAAATTTATAAATAAAGGCATGGACCTATTCTTTTCTTTTATGAGTATCTTTCAGAACATGATCAAGTCTTGGTCTACATTTAGAAAGGACAAAGGAGTTGTAGCATGAATTACATCAATTCATTACATAAAATTTCTAATAGTATGAGATAGAAGTTGCTACATATTTAATTGAATTTGCTTGCGTGCTCAATGATCAATTATGCAATCAAGTGACATTTGATACGATGACATAATTTTGCATGAACTCAAGCGAATATCCATAAAAAAAATAATAAAAAAATTAAAAAATTAGTGGCGTTCGATCATTTGAGGGAAGATCCTAAAACAAACATAAGCATGGTGGTTGTGGTGGCGGTGGTAACTGTAGTTTGTACTGTACTAGTCGCAATGATGACAGTGGCAGCAATTGCATGTATGTTAGGGAAGAATAAAATATCATTGACATTGATTATAATTCATGAAAGGAAGAGGAACCACAAATACGAGCCGCATTATGCCTTAAACTTCAGCAACATGCCCATATATATATATACACACACAGACACAGCCGATATAAAGAAAGTAGACCCAAAAATCATAGTAATTGTGTTAAGATAAGAAGAAAAGGAGAGGGATATACCAATAGCAATGAGATCAAAAACAGAGAGTGTCTTGGCTAATTGATGATGATTCTCACGCCTTGTATGAACCGAATCGACTTGCTTCCTCCTAATTAAGGATCCAAATCCCCATAAGCGTTTTCCGTCATCATCCTTTGGCATGTTAACAAGCACACCCGTACAACAACTCTACTCTTTCCTCCTTTTTTTCTTTTTTTTTTTTTTTTGGATAATCAATCAAAAACAGAACAAATGCAAAGGGGGCTATATCTCTCTGGCTTGAGAGAGACTTATGAGAAAGCCATCTGCCCGCTTTCCCATTGATTTTCCGGGAAAGTTTAAAATAAGAGGGAAGCGGGCATAGAAAAGCATAGAATAGCGAAAAACGAGTGGTACTTGTATTCCCGACTAAAAAACAAGGTCTGAAATTACACTTCTACCACTCCTGCCCGCTGCCCGAACGCCAATCATTACCGGCCGGGTATGGCTATGTTCACCGATGCTACCGGAGGCTAGTGATGGAACTCCATATCGACAACTGGGCCCTTCATCGCGTTTATCCGGACATTAAATTGTCCAACTCATCATTTACATAATTGAGAAATTTATAGTATGTATATATATATATATATATATGAAAAGACTGAAACAAAATAATGATTAATTATTAAGAAAAAGAAATCAAAAATGGTATACGTCTGCCCTTTTCACCTAACCAAAATTGAAGAAATGGGTTAAGCCTCCAACAATCTGCACCCAAATCTTTTTTCTTTTTTTTTTTCCTTTTTCCCTACGTCTTTTAACAATTAATTGCAACACAATTTGATGAATAATTACTATAAAAAGAATCATTTAGGGAGAGAATATTAAATTAGTTTTTTATGGTAAGATAAATAAGATTAGTGTAACTTATTTAATTAATGTATTTTAATAATTATTTACAATACAATTTATACTAATACATAAATGAATATAATGGGAGTAAGGAATTTTCACAACCTTGTCTTGCATGAAGCCTTGTTCGTTTCTTCCAGAAAAAAAAAAAAAAAAAACTCTTTGACAGCTAGGGACAGCTCTCCACTGGCATGATTAAACTTGTTTCCTTTAAAATTGTAAACAAGTTGTTATCCCTCAAGAAAAATGACATTGAAGCTCAATAGAGAAGGGGGAAAACACATGAGACTAAAGCTCAAAATAAAAAAGAGGAAACACACACACACACAAAACCAACAATTTCACTTTTGGAAGTAACGAGAGAAAACAAATTAAGTGAAATAACTCCAGTTACAATAGGGTAACATTTTTTTAGTGAGAAAGACTTCACATCTTACATAGAGAAGAAAAAAGAACAAGAGAGTTTCATACAACCAGAAAGTCTTCATGAATTGTATTAAGTATATGTTTATACACATGTAAGTAAAAAAATTCTTATAACTTCAAAATGATTATGCTTATAACTTTCAAGTTCAACGAAACACTTGTATTATAAACACTAAGTTCAAAATAGGGTAAATCGGTGTGAGTTTCTTTCCAATGGAGGGGGAAATTTTTTAAAAAAAAAAGAAAAAAACACTAGGTTCAAATAGTAAGAAATTAGTACCTACTAATGAAAATTTTGCAGGTCCATTAACTGAGACAAGTGCTCGAGAAAACACAAACAGTTGAGTCAAAACTTGCTGAGTTTAAATAGGTGACAGCAATTCTCGATAAGCAACCTGATGAAATTCATATTTTGCCCGATTGCCAATGACTTTCCCTTGCTCTGGTAGAAATTGAACTCGCTGATAACGAAACTAGGCCAGCAAAGAAAGGGCTGATTGATCATGAAGAATGCACCCTCAAGAAACATGGAAGAGGTCCCCCATACATCATTTGACACCTAAATTTTACAAAAATGACAACATAAAGCTCTATAATAATTCATCAGATCAGTAAGGTATGTCATAAAAATGGAAAACACAACTTCTACCTTATCTATTACCCTCATGTTACATCTACTCTTAGCTACATGTAACTTCTCTATTTACAGGCATTCTCATCTGAGGAACCTGATACACTTCCGCAGTTCATAAGTGTCCAATAATCTACTCTCATCAGCGCAACTAGAAAAACCCAAGCCAGTTTCTGCTCTCTACAGTATTCTCATCTGAAGAATTCGGCATTCTGCTCGTTTCATCTGAAATGTCATCTGGAAGGAGTTGTATTCTGTCAGCATGCTTAATCATCCAATCAGTGAACTCCGGAGAGGAAGCCAACTCAGCCACAGCTTGATGAGTTGAATCCTGTGTGAATTCCCTCCACTCTTTGATTGAGAACCTCTTTCGATTAGGTGTCCTGTGGAATGTTGAGTAGTAGTCCTGTTGATTTCTAGTCCCTCCGCTGCTGGAAGGCGATAACAAACCTGCAACAGCACAAAACAAGCAAAAGGTGCATCATTGGAGCTAGAGGATAGGCCATCAAATGGCAGGTCAGAATCCTTGCCAAATGTGAGGGGGAAAAAAAAAAGGCACCATTATATTGGAACTGTAAAAATGCATCTACATGAAAGCCTTCTTTTACAGCATTTCTTCCAAGGGAAAGTAATACACTATCTAACTTTAATAGTCTGATTTCCATGCTTGTTAAACTTTCTGAGTGGTCAACTTCATAAAAGTTTTGAGACCTGAAATCATTAACCTTCTGAGAGGTCAACTTCGTGAAAGAAAGCTTCATTAAATCATTTTGACAGACCTGAAATTATTATTCATGCAAGAGACCTGAAATCATTTTTAAATAAATCCTGTGTATCGACTTCTTTCTTTAATACAGAAAAACTGGATTTTAAAGTGTAAGAGAAGCATGTCACCAGAGATTCAGCTTTTCCAGGTCAACATGCACATAGATATTTGGAAAAGCAAGAAAAATATAACAGGAGAGTTGGACCAACCAGGCGAACTTCTTGGGCTGTTCCACAATGTTCCTTGAGCACCCGTGTCCTTTGACCTGCTAAACAATTCAGCAGATATGGGTTTTGCAGTTCCCCATCCACCACTCCGCAGCCGAGGACTCACGCAGCTAGAATACCTTCATCAAATAACAGTACCATATATACTAGTTAATCTATTGATAATACAAAGCAAATGAGCAAGTAAGTTTTAAAATATGTTCTGCAAACTACATAAACTCTACTCCTAAAACCTGAACAGGCAGCGATGATCCAAAGCTCAGAGCCATAGACAAGGCAACGAATTCAGGCATTTTGTTTGTCTACCATTTGAAATGAGTCTGTTAGTCCCATGAAACATCTGAACAACCCTTTTAGTCAGTGTTCATAATCATCGGCCCTTTCAACCAACTTTTCACACGCCATCCATTTTGACTGCTCAAATGAATAATTAGGTAATTTACTAGCATTATTTGATAAGATCAATCATTAATTTAGATGTAATAATGTGAATAAAGAAAAAAAGAAAAAGGTCAACCATGTACAATTTTATTGGATAAAATAATTACTAATTCTAGCAGTTTACAAAGTCAGGGAGAAAGCAGGAAGAAAGGCTACACGGAACTTACTTTGAATCACGCCATCTTGGAGAAGTGGCTAGGAAGCAAATAGCCAAACAAGGAATAAACGCCACCAATGCCAAAGGAGTATCAAGAGAGCTCTGACAGAGAAAAAAAGGCCAAGTTAGAAACAACAGAATTATTAAAATAAAAAAGTTCCGAAAATTATTAAAATTACCAAGGGCCTTGTGGCCTATTGGTATCTCCTCTACCTCCCAAAGTGGATGGTGAGGGTTCGAGTCCCCAAAGAGGCAAAGTGGTGTGTGTGAGTGGGGTGATTGTATTCTTGCCAATGACAAAAAAGTTGCGAAAACTAGACCAATGTCTTGGTAATTCAATCTGCACAATTCATTTCCAGGTAGAAAATATTATCTGAAGAGAAGGACTTCAGCATCAATAACTAGTTCAGGTATAAATGAGTTTAGAGGACATCTACTTCAGTAAAGAGGAGAGTAAAGATCACGTCTGTATGTGATGGAAGGATCACCAAGGTTTGATGAGTAACGTTGAGTCATTTCTGTTTGGACCAAGTTATACACAATGCAGTATGACATATTAGAAACCTATTATGTTTATGAAAGCATTCCTAGTTTAAATGTGAACATAACAACCACCTGGAAAATAAATGTGGCTGCAATAATGCGCATTGCCCATTTAACAAACTGAGCTATGCCAACATCCACACTTCCATCTTCTGAAATTACAAATTTCCGCACAATCCAGTACCCTAGGGCAGCTTCTGCAATGATAATCAAGACAAGTACAACTACATATACCTGTAAACAAACAAGGTAAAAAGGTTATTGACATAAAGAGAGAACAAAAAATTGGCCTACTTTAGCTGAAAACTGGAGAATCATTTAACAACAAATGAAACAATACGGCTATATACCAACAATACATCCCAATGTCATTATAATTTCTTCCCTCCATTCTGTCTTACAGATAACTCTGCACATTACTAACTCATATACTTCCAGTACAAGTATATCCCACATCCTGAGCAATGGTGGTGTGTGATTGATAACAAACTTGAAACAACATAACAGAAATCATAAATTGTGCAAGTATCATTAACTAACTATTAATTAACAGTAAAATTGAAGGCCGAAGGGCAAGCACGTAGGTAGCCAAAGTGTAGAGTGAGAACAGCCCTTCTCAAATTATGATTGAGTCATATGGATATGTATCTATACTTTATACCGTGGGCCAAAAAGAGTGCACACAGAACTTGAAACTGTTTATTTTGATAAAAATGATAAAATAAGTAAGCCGATTAGACATATTTTGGTATTTGCTAGGCAAGTCCATATGGCAAAATAAAAGAAAGCAAATTATAGACAATTGGTCCAGTTTCAGGGCAGGACCAACTTTGGATCTTAAACAATCAAGCCTTCGAGTTAAATTTTGTGATGTAGCCCTAGTAGGAAATGGCAAAGTCCAGCAGTCCGAAGATAAGATATAACTTAAAATCGTTAAATTTAATTAAAAAAATGATAAAATAAGTAAGATGATTAGATATATTTTGGTGTTTGCTAGGCAAGTCCACATGGCAAGCTCCAAGAAAGCAAATTATAGACAATTGGCCCAGTTTCAGGGCAGGACCCACTTTGGATATTAAACAATCAAACGTTCGGGTTAAATTTTATGATATAGCCCTAGTAGGAAATGGCAAAGTCCAAGAGTCTGAAGATAAGATGTAGATCAGCTTAACTTTGGAAACTACCTTGGGATTGAGTGAAATCCTAAAGCATTATGCTTCACTTACACTTCTTCATTTCTTAAATTTTATGTACTTTTCTAGTCTTCGAAATCCACAATCACAATTTGTTAGCCTCTTTCCCACCCCTAAAATAGCTCATTAGACAACCCAACTCTTTCCTTCCTTCAGACAATTCAACCCTGGCACCCAAAAGAGAGCAACCAACCCTAGTTACTCTTTTCAACCTGCCCCCTCAACCTCCCTTGCTTGATTATAATTCCAAAAGCCACATTTCATCAAACACCATTATATATATTGAACTTCATATTTTAATCAAATTTAGCCACAAACATAATTACAATAGAAATAACATTCAGCTTTTATAAAAAGTCTTTTCTAGGACAGCCTACATCGGTCTTGTGTTAAGTTTCTAACAGTATGTTCTTTGCACTTGTCCTAAATCAAAAGCACTTGGTCCTGGTCCTGGTGTAGTCCCCAGACAATAGTAGAAAGAAGATTTATCGACTTAAATGAAAGCCTGAACACTCTATAATTCCCCAATGTTTTGTAGAATAATCTATATCACACCTCAGGAAATGTCCCACAATCAAGTGCCCAATTTGCTGACAGGAAATCTGAGGCCTGTTTCAATTACATTTGGTAACTCACCTAGCCCATCCTTTTCGTGTCTTAAAAGTGTGAAGGTAAGAGTAATACATCACTTACACAACTTTTAACGAATTTTGTGCCAAAGACAGAATGATACTTCGGCTAAACCATTACGTTATAATGCAACTTCAGATTCCAACAATCATATAATTCACAGAAAGCTAAGTTGGATTCGCATGAAGCTAGGTCTGCATCTGATCCCTCTCAACACACTCAATTCATGGCAACAATATTAGGTAATAATCTTATTTTATTTATTTTTCTCTCTTCTTTTTTTAAATTGAATAACTAGACCCTATTAACATATGGGTCTATAGGATGCTAGTCGGTACCAGGATCACCATATAAAAACATACAAAGCGAGGACAAATATTGGAACTCTTGGTCAAACGTCCTTTTAGTAAATCAAACGTATCAAAAATCATAGTAAGCAAGATTTTAGCCTATCTATTTATTTGCAACTGGATGAATGATAGAAGATGTCAAAAAAACAGTATCACATTTGAAGGCAAAAAGATAACTAAATTGAACTATTTCAACTGAATAAAATGATGGGTCCTAATATATACATATATATATATTTTTTACTTAATGAATATTGATTTGGCAACATCACAATAAGTACTGAACTTAAAAGGCGACCAAAGTCATTATATAAAAGTATAAGGTCCCACCCACCCCATCTAATGGCAGCACATCAATGGACCAAAAGCTTTAAAAATCATCCAAATTTAGTAACTATAGCCTGTTAAATAAAATCATGCTGTTAACAAAGTGAAAAATGTTGAAAAACAATGCAGGTGCGTTTAAAAACGTTGAGCAAGATGCCTCATAGAACAGTTCAATTAAAATAAAAAGATGACCCTAGTTACATCAGTTTAAGCTTCTAACTTATGTAAACTTTGGTGAACCACAATTAACATTCTAAAACTAAAGTTAGGCATCAAAAAATCTAATAATTTTCACTTTTGACATGACCAATTCACTAGAGTATTCGATGGTGGTCTAGTCCGTCTAAAAGTTAAAAGAAAACGACAGGGAGAGTAAAATATATGAAGGGAAGGACACGGTGATTAATTATTAGTTAAATCATTTGAAGATCATGGAAGCAATTTATGTTAATTTACCGACAGACATCATCTTACTGGAAAGGGTGTTATTGCCCCAGTATAGAACTTCAAGAAGCATTCCATAGAGTTTGAATCTGGCCAAAACAGGCCTTTCCTCAGACAAAATTGGGATTTATCTACCCAAAAAAGAAATTTTTTTTTTAAAAAATACCTAACTAAATTCCAAATCCAACAATGCTGCCAACAGCATTTAGACATATATAATATACCGCATAACATAATAAAGGAAATAGAAAGCAAGACGACTTACAGGGTTGTGCATCTCTTCACTCAGCCCAAAATTGACAAGAATTGAATTCACCAACAGGGACAAGTGGTGTAACAGAAAAGATCCTGCTCCAAGCTGAAATAAAAATGGACATAAAGTTTACAAACATGACATACTTAACAAAACTAAGGAATTTACTTTCTAACACCGTTACACTAAAGCAAATGAAAACTTACCACTGATCCATAAATACTGAGGTAGAAGACATTTTTCCTGCCAGTTGGTAATAATTTCATTCCCTATACCATAACCAAAAGCAGCCAAATGAGACATAACTTCTTACACACTCAAGCAGGCTGAAGGATAAAAGAAATATTTTATGAAATTATATCTCTCAGTCGAAATTTGACAGTTATAAAAATCATGCTTCCAGAGTTAGTTAAGTAGTACGACTTTATTTGGAGATCAATATTTTCACATTTTTTAGTTCCAATGAGAATACTGCTATTAATAATAAACATAACAATGCCTGGAAACAGATCTCGAAAGTAAGTGGAAAAAAAATATATATATATTTTGAACTAAAGTCACAAGTTTATACTTGCAGCAGGGGAATTGTGAAGGGCAAGAAACACTAAACCAAGTGAACATTCAAATTCACATTACACAATTAATCAAACTGGTCGCCCCACAGGCAACCACGTTTAACACTAACAAATTAAAATGTACACCTTGACATCATTTTGCATTCTACAAAGCAACTAAAAAGTATTTGGCCACACTTCATCAAAATCCAAATGAGGCATGTAATGCACACCAAATAAATAATTACAATCATAAATTATTGATGCAAATTAATTCAAAAGGCCACTAAGCACGTGTTGGACCCAAAAAAAAAAAACTTTGCTAGAAGAGAACAAGAACTTACATTCAAAATCCCTATTTTTCCCCCCTTAATTCTGATAAAACTGATGCAAGATATTCTTGAGTAATATTTTTTATAACAAAATGACATCTAGAGAATCCACAAACATTTACAACTCCTAAAAGACTAAACTAGGGTAAGTTTATTGAGTAATCCAATAAACAGTATCAAACCTAACAACTTCGTTTAGGCAATGGCGAGCAAAACAAGTTAAATTGGTGTTAAACTAGGCAGAAAGAGAAACCCTATTCTTCTCTATAAAATGAGAAGTAGAAAAGGAAGTTGGAATCGAAGATACAAGCCCCCGAGTCTGCACTTGGAATCAAACTCTTAACAACAACCATACCTGAAGATGTCAACCCCCCTTTTTAACTTTAAGGAATAGATATACACTCAAGTCCCAACTACTTAAACTGAACCTCCTTCTTTGGGAAACACAGAGTGACATTCAAGCTCACAAGTTGGTGATGCAATCATACAGTATATGTAATTAAGATCAGACTAATGTCATTTGTTATGAAATGAAATGCTTATATCCACAATCAGATCAGCTTATCACTTTTTTGCAAGTGACAGACCCCAATTTTGAGAGTAGGCAAAATCAATGTAACAGACATTCTAGTTTTTCATCGTAATGAGGTTTAACACATTATTAAGATAGAATTGCAATGAACAAAACTTATTTGGCAAAAGTTGTACTGAGCTAAAGATGAAACTGCCCCTTCTTTGCCCCTTGATTCCTAAAATGGGCACTATACCACATCATGGTAGAAATTCGAAGAAAACTAAAGAGCAATGAAGAAGAAAGCAGAATATTTCACACCAAAAAAAAAACCCAAGTACCTGAAAAAGAAGGATAATGATGACAAGTAAAACTCCAATGGCCATTGAACTGCTATAATAAAACGGAACCCAACTGCTGACACTTGGAGCCAACAGAAGTAAAACAAGTCCCAGGGCAAGACAAATCAGACGCCATCTTTGAAACTCTGCATACAACATAAACCAGAGCGAAAGGTCAAAACAGACAAATATAACAAAATAGTAGCTTAAAAATGAGCTTCGTGACAAACAAAAATAAAAAATAACTAAATAAACACCCAACCTTCTTCAACAGTGACAGTGACAGAACCAGAAACTTCACCAACAAACTTCACATCAATGTATCTTTCCTCATAAGGTGACATTACAGAGCTCCACAACCCTTTCCGGACAGAACTCCACTTATCCTTCTCACATTGACATAATCCAAGGGAAGCATTCCTGCATCATCACAAAATTAAACATCAGCCCCTAGGATGAAATATGCACCTTGCAGAAAAGCAAAAAGTCTGAAAATTTCGCTTACCGGTGGAAACAAATCTGAATTTTGCTGTGTAATGTTTCGGGAATAAGAACTGATGGAGCCAAAGTAACTCGATATGCATTGGCGTAACTCCTAAGCTTCAATCTTGATACACCACCACCAACTCGAACACGTCCACACAATAAAACATCTTTAGAACCATGATTGGTTGATGTAGGAACAGGGAAGGAGGATGGGGTGATATCAACAACTGGGTTTTCCGCATCGATACCTGAAATTTCAATTTCAACATACACAGATGGAATCAATCACAAGAACTAATACCGTTACATATATATGGTTTTTCATCACATACAAAGTCTCTGAACATCACTGTCAAAGAAAAAAATATATACAAATTTTCAATTTTACTGTAATTTAATTTGCCCTAAAAATGGTGTTCAAATTAGGAAAACCAAACATGCAATGGAGTGGGTCTAGTAATTTGTAATTACCTTTGAATGTTATTACATGGGTCGAGCATGAGGAGATCGAAAGATAAAAGAACAGAAGAAGAAGAGTAGCAGCAGAATGGGCCATCTCTCGCGGCTCGCTTTTGGCTCTTGAATTCTTGATTTTCAATCCCCTTTATAAGGGGTAAGCGATGTCTACACGTTAGCGTTTTTATTAAGCACCGCCAATCTGGCAATTTTGATTTTGCGTTTTTAACAAGCACTGCCAGCGCGGCAAAAACGGCTAACATATATTATCCAAAAAAATAATATAATATATAGATATAAGATATTATTATTAAATATGCAAAGTGTTTCACTATTTCAGTATTTATTTATTAATTAATATAAATTTTATAAAACTCAAAATTACCTAATAAAATTAAAATTAATTTAAATCAACAAAATATAAAAAGAGTTTAATTCAAATTACAAAGTCCCACATTTGTTTTAAGTAAAAAAAATTATATGAAAGCCTATTATAAAACTATAGAACTAAAGAAATAATAATCACACCTTCTCAGCCATTTGGCTAAGATCAAGTGTAGTACTAAATTTTTTTGAATCGACCTTTTGGCTAGCCTTTCTTGGTCTTTTGGCTAAGAACAAGTTCAGTATTTATTTATTGATTGATATAAATTCTATAAAACTCAAAATTACCTAATAAAATTAAAATTAATTCAAATTAACAAAATATAAAAAGAGTTTAATTCAAATTACAAAGTTCCACATTGATTTTAAGTAAAAAAAATTACATGAAAACCTCATATAAAATTATCGAGCTAAAGAAATAATAATCACACATTTTCGCCTTTTGGCTAAGATCAAGTGTAGTATTAAATTTTTTTTGGTCGGTCTTTTGGCTAACCTTTCTTGGTCTTATGGCTAAGATCAGTGTAGTACTATTTTCTCGGCAAAGAGTTTCAGTATTTATTTATTAATTAATATAAATTCTATAAACCTCAAAATTACCTAATAAAATTCAAATTAATTCAAATTGACAAAATATAAAAAGAGTTTAATTCACAATAAAGAGCTCTCATTAATTATTATATCCTGCTATATATAGAATAGTATTTCAATATTTAAATTACCTAATAAAATTAAAATTAATTCAAATTAACAAAATATAAAAAAAGTTTAATTCAAATTACAAAGTCCCACATTTATTTTAAGTAAAAAAGATTACATGAAAGCCTCTTATAAAACTATAGAGGTAAAAAAATAATAATCACACCTTCTCGGCCTTTTGGCTAAGATCAAGTGTAGTACTAAATTTTTTTGGGTCGGCTTTTTGACTAACTTTCTTAGCCTTTTGGCTAAGATCAAGTGTACTACTACTTTCTCGGCCATTGTGCAAAGAGTTTCAGTATTTATTTATTAATTTAAATAAAATATACATAATAAAATTTAAACTAACATGTTTATCTATTTATTATTATGAATTTTTTAATAAAAGAAAATCCAATTAGACAAAAATTATTAATATAAAAATATTTATTAATTGATATATAAAATAAAATAATTTTTATAAAACTCTACCACAAATTAGCTTTTATTATGACTTTCTTAATAAAATTAAATCTAATTAGACAAGAATATATTTAAAGAAAATAAAATAATTTTTATAAAACTCTATTACAAATTACCTATTTTATTTTCAATAAAACTCTATCAACAAAGATATATTTAAAGAATTTCTATAAAACTCTAACACAAATTACATATTTATCTATTTATTATGAGTTTTTTAATAAATGGAAACCTAATTAGACAATAATTCTTAAAATAAAAAAATTTATTAATTGATATAAAAAGAGTTTATATTAAACTCTAACATAAATTACCTATTTATTTATTTATTATAAGTTTTTTAATAAAAAAAATCTAACAAGACAAGAATTATTAATATCAAAAATATTTTTTAATTGATATAAAAAATAAAATAATTCTTCTAAAACTCGACCACAAATTACCTTTTGTTATGTTTTTTAATAAAAGTTAATCTAATTAGACACGAATTATTAAAATATAAAAATATTTATTAATTCCTATAAAAATAGTTTTAAAAATATTTTCTATAACACTCTAACATGTATTACATATCACAATATTTTAATAAAATAAAATTTAATTTTCAGAGTAAAATACAGAAGCTCTACCAAAGTGTTCCAGTATTTATTTATTTATATAAAAAAATATTTATTAATTTACATAAAAAGAGTTTTTATCGATACAACTATTAAATGTTCAAAGAGTTTCAGTATTTAAGTATCTATTTATTTTAAAATATATTTATTAATTGATATGAAAAGTATTTTTCTAGAAAAAAAAAAAAAAAAAAACTCTATCAAACTCCAAAATCTATCTAATAAAATTTAAATTAACCTATTTATCTTTTTATTATTATGAATTTTTTAATAAAATAAAATCTAATTAGACTACAATTATTAATATAAAAAAATATTTATTAATTGATATATAAAATAAAATAATTTTTCTAAAATACCACAAATTAACTTTTATTATGAGTTTCTTAATAAATTAAATTTAATTAGACAAGGATATATTTAAAGAAAAAAAATATATTAAATGTGCAAAAAGGTTCAGTATTTCAGTATTTATTTGTTTATATAAAAAATATTTATTAATTGATATCAAAAGAGTTTTTTAAAAAGAATTAAATAAACAGAAAAAAAAAACTCTATAAAACTCTAAAATCTACCTAATAAAATTAAAATTAACCTATTTATCTATTCATTATTATGAATTTTAAAGTTTCAGTATTTATTTAAAAAATATTTATTAAATGTGCAAAGAGTTTCCGTATTTCAGTATTTATTTATTTATATATAAAAATATTTATTAATTGATATGAAAAGAGTTTATATATATATATATATATATATATATATATATATAAAACTCTATAAAACTCTAAAATCTACCTAATAAAATTCAAATTAACCTATTTATTATTATGAATTTTTTAATAAAAGAAAATCTAGTTTTCACATTAAGATACAGAAGCTTTACTAAGGTGTTTTAGTATTTATTTATTTATATAAAAAAAATATTTATTAATTGATATAAAAAAAGTTTTTAGCTATACTATTATTAAATGTGCAAAGAGTTTCAGTATTTAAGTATTTATTTATATAAAAAATATATTTATTAATTGATATGCAAAGAGTTTTTTTAGAAAATAAAAAAAAAAAGTCTATCAAACTTTAAAATCTATCTAATAAAATTTAAATTAACCTATTTATCTATTTATTATTATGAATTTTTGAATAAAAGAAAATATATTTAGACAAAAATTATTAATATAAAAAATATTTATTAATTCATATATTTTAAAATAATTTTTCTAAAACTATACCACAAATTAACTTTTATTATGAGTTTATTAATAAAATTAAATTTAATTAAACAAAGATATATTTAAAGAAAATAAAATATTTTATATAAAACTCTATCATAAATTACATATTTTATTTTCAATAAAACACTATCGCACTAGACAAAGATATAATATTTAAAGGGTTTCTATAAAATTCTAACACAAATTACTTATTTATATATTTATTAAGAGTTTTTTAATAAATAAAAAAATCTAATTAGACAAGTATTATTAATATAAAAAATTATTTATTAATTGATCTAAAAAATGGTTTTAAAAGAGTTTCTATAAAACTCCAACACAAATTACCTATTTATCTATTTATTATGAGTTTTTAAATAAAAGGAAATTTAATTAGACAAGAATTATTAATATAAAAAATATTCATTAAGAATTATTAATATAAAAATATTTTATTAATTGATATAAAAAGTGTTTTTAAAAGAGTTTCTATTAAACTCTAAAACAAATTACCTATTTATTTATTTATTATAAGTTTTTTAATAAACGAAAATCTATTTAGACTACAATTATTAATGTAAAAAATATTTTATTTTCAATAAAACTCTATCACAATAGACAATGATATATTTAAAGAGTTTATATAAAACTATAACACAAATTACATATTTATCTATTTATTATGAGTTTTTTAATAAAAGGAAATGTAATTAGACAAGCATTGTTAAGATAAAAAATTTATTTATTAATTGATATAAAAAGAGGTTTGAAAAGATTTTCTATAAAACTGTAATACAAATTACCTATTTATCTATTTAGTATGAGTTTTCTAATAAAAGGAAATCTAATTAGACAAGAATTATTAATATAAAAAATATTTATTAATTGATGTAAAAAAAGTTTTTTAAAGAGCTTCTGTTAAACTGTAACACAAATTACTAATTTATTTATTTATTATAAATAGATTTTCAGAAAATAAAATAATTTCTATAAAACTGTACCACCAATTATCTATTTTATTTTCATTAAAACTCTATTACATATAGCATGTTTTTATCTATTTATTATGAGTTTTTTAATGAAGGAAATCAAATTAGAAAACAATATATTTAAAGAAAATAAAATATTTTTAAAAAAAAGTTTATATAAAACTCTAATACAAATTACCTATTTATGTATTTATTATGAGTTTTTTAATAAAAGAAAATATAATAACTAGAGAAGAATTAGTAATATAAAAAATATTTAATAATAGATATAAAAATAAAATAATTTTTTCTAAAACTCTACCTCAAATTACCTTTTAGTATGAGTTTTTTAATAAAAGAAAATAAAAACAAGCTATATATGGATATATTTAAGGAAAATATAATAATTTCTATTAAACTCTACCACAAATTATCTATTTTATTTTCTATAAAACTCTATCACATTAGGCAATGATATATTTAAAGAAAATATATAATAATATAATAATACATATAAATAAAGTATAAAAGTGTAAATATTTTAGCATTTCAGTATTTATTTTTTAATATAAAAAAATTTATTAATTAATTTTAAAATAGTTATCTATCACATATAACCTATGTATTTATCTATTTATCATAAGTTTTTTAATAAAAGAAAATCTAATTAGATAAGGATGTATATAAATAAAATAAAATAATTTTTATAAAATAATAAAAAAATATATAAAAAGAAAAATTCGATAAGTTACAAAACATTCATCACGTGCATCGCACGTGCCTTTTATTAGTATATAT